GAGTTACAGCTACAAACACACACCCAGCTACGGCTACAGAGATACAGCTACAAACACACACCCAGCTACAGCTACAGAGATACAGCTACAAACACACCCAGCTACAGCTACAGAGTTACAGCTCAAACACACACACAGCCAGCATCTGCTCTGGGCTAACTGAGACTTTGGGGGCGGGGGGGGGTAGAGCGGAAGAGAAAGAGTGAGAGAGAGAGATAGAGAGGTAGAAACAGAAAGAGAGAGAACCACGGAGAGAGAGCAAGAGAGAGAGAATGAGAGAGTGCAAGTGTGTTTGTGTAACATGTGCCTGTCTTTGTGTGTGTCTGTGTGCGTGTGTGCGCGCACACGCAGGGCTCTCCCATAGGGTATCTATAGGATATGTGAGACGTTTAATTGGCTGTTAAATGGATCAGCATCGACACAGATCTGCTTTCCTGGGCCTACAGCTGGAGAATTAAAAAAAAAAAAAAAAAAGCCGAGCACGACTGACTGACCAGGCCGGGCCAAACGGGCCCGTTCTAAAAGACCAGACCCACTCCGATTTCACAGTAGAAAGCCTCCGCGACCTGGCACTGCAGCGAAGGAGCAGTCCAAAAAAACGAAACAAAAAAAGAGTCAGTCTTACAAAAAAACAAAAAAAAAACCTCTTTGACTTCTGATATCCGGTCTGGGGTCCCTTTGTCTAAACTAACAGAGGCACAAGTCAAGGTCCTGAGCAGGGGGAAAAAAAAAAAAAAAAAAGGAAGAGCGAAATAGAAGAGGAAAAAGAAAGAGCAAAGAGCCTGGAACCTTAAACAGGAAGTGGCAGAAATGAGGCGGAACCCAGACGAGCCGATGGGTTTAAAACCAACCAGCAGTAGGTTCAACTGGCCCGGCCCGGTCCGAACTCACAGATCCAAAAGACAACGGCACAAACTCCAGCCTCCCCGTGTGATTTACAAAGAGCTTTCACTTTCAAAACCAAGGGCAAAAATTCAGCTGTGAAAACCACATTTCATGCAGGAATTGTGGCTCAAAAGCTTTAAACTACAAAATCAAATTTAAAAAATATTACTAAATTGTAAAAAAAATATGAAATAATATAAAAAAAAAGAGCACAAAACTGTCTGCTTCCACTGTATCCATCTCCTGAGGGCAATTAATTTGTGGCCAGAGGCCACTGTACATGGATGGCTGACATAAAAGCAGTAAAACACACACGACACACACACACGCACACACACACACACTCCCCCATGTTGGGCACAAGATGGGGAGTTGGGGGTGGGGGGGGGGGGGGGGGGGGGGGGGGGGGGGTTCAGCATGGCGGGTTTATGGTCGGGGAAGAAGCCGTTTCCGAACACACAACGGATCCTCTTAAGTTTTGGAAAACGATGGAGATGTTTCGGAAAAGGGCAGACCCTCTCATACAGTTTCCACACTCCTCCATCCCCGCACGCCGCTCTGACGATCGGACGTCCACCTTCTCATCGCACGTTTCGATTTCCTGTTCCTTTAAAATTCAGAGTCACTACTCCTCTGTTTTTTGTTCCTCCCCTGTTTTTTTTTTTTTTTCCTTTTTAAACCCAGGGTACCCAGCGTAGTCAAAATGCGCGAGTGAGCCAGTCTAAGCCGGTTTGTAACCTCAGGACACGGAATTATCTCTTAATATGTAGCCGTTAGCAGTCAGGACGTCACAGGAAGAAAAGAGGGTGGGAGAGAGGGAGGAAGAGGTGGGGGGAGGGGCAAGAAAACCCCATGCTTTGAGGAAAGAAAGAAAGAAAGAAAGAAAGAAAGAAAGAAAGGGGGGGAGAGAGAATATATGCTTAGGAGACGACAGATCTAAACCTGGCACCTCTACAAGAAGCTGAGCACCAGAACTTCAGTGCTAGCTGGGTGGGGCTTCTGCTGCTCTTGGTTAAAATATAAAGGGGAGGTGGAGGTTTTTTTTTTTTTGGGGGGGTGGGGGGGGTGAAGTTAAACCATCTGCTGAGGGGGAGGGAGATTTTTTTATTCTGACATGGGGGCCGCAGTGGTGGGGGGGGGGGGGGCTGGGTGGCGACAGGCGTCTTGTATAGAGTATGGCGAAAACCCAATACGAGAGATTATGTATGTGGGTTTAAACACAAAAACACATTCACCAGGGCACTGTGCACACACGCATACACACACCCCCAATACAAGGGTATATGTACGTCTACCCACAACACACATACACGCAACAACATACACAATACACACACACACACACACACACACACACACACACACACACACACACACACACACACACACACACACACCCCCAATACAAGGCTATATGTACGTCTACACACAACACACATACACGCAACAACATACACAATACACACACACACAGACGCACACACACCCCCAATACAAGGGTATATGTACGTCTACCCACAACACACATACACGCAACAACATACACAATACACACACACACACACACACACACACCCCCAATACAAGGCTATATGTACGTCTACACACAACACACATACACGCAACAACATACACAATACACACACACGCAGACGCACACACACCCCCAATACAAGGGTATATGTACGTCTACACACAACACACATACACGCAACAACATACACAATACACACACACACACAGACACACACACTCACTCTCGCACAAACACACATACGCTAAAATGCACTTACGGCATACTAATACACATGCAGAGATACACACCAACACAAACACACACAATAACACACACATTGATACCCAACATCCACAGACATGCACTGAACGCAGAGCAGTTTCACTGTTAGAAAATAGGAACCCACACGGTTTGGCACTGATCCCAGATCAGGTATATAATGAGAAAGCAAGGACACATATAGGCAGGCACACATCCTAGAACAGATCAGTGAGGCAGAAAAGCAGGGCCCACAACTGATCGCTGAACAGTTGAACCGTGGGAAAGCTGGCACCCACACAGCCAAGCACTGATCCTAGACCTGTCACACTGAGAGGAAGCAGGGCCCACATATGGCTAGGTACTGATCCCAGACCAGTCACAGCTCAGATCCCAGAAGTCATACTGCCTGAAAGCAGAAACCACATATGGCCAGGCACTGATTGGAGAACAGACAACCTGATAGGGGGAAAAAACACAACCTCTATGGCTATGCACTGATCCAAGATCAGCTCCACTGTGGAACCTGACAGAGACAGTTGGGAGAATGTTGGAAAAGATGGTGAAGGTGGAGGAAAAGAAAGAAGAGAGATGGGGGAGAGAAAGCGTACACAAGAAGAGAAGATGGAGAGAGAACAGATATTAAAGAGGCAAGAATGGTAAAACAAAGAAAAAATCTGTGCTAAGCACAGGAAAAGTATAAAGGCATGACAGACATGACAGGCTTGGAGTGACAGAAAGACTAAAATGTGGGAGAGATATAGAGAAAGAAAAGTTCTCTCTCAGTGAAACGTTCAGGCCTGTCTGAAATGCTACACTGTCTGAATGTACAGTGACATCACACCTTCACTGTCTATGACATCACAAACCCTTAACCGAAGGGTTCTGGAAGGCTTTGTGTTTACTGCCCACTGCGAGGGAAAGTCAATCTGAGTCATTCCAGCACAGGACACCGTAAAGGGGTAAGCGTGATCATATTCAGGGCTACTTGCAAGCACTCTGTTCACACATTACACATAAACACTTCCAACATCTGTATGAGAAGCACAGTACAAATAAAGTTTATTGCTATTAAATGAAATTAATTTCTTTATAAATAAACCAAGTTTATTATCGTCATCTGTTCAACCAGCTGGTTATTTTCACTGAGGCGATTTAGCCTCAATTAAGCCTGCAACAGTAGCATCTGTCAATGGGATTTGAACCCAAAACCTTATGGTTGCTCAGTCTACTACCTCCACAGCCCACCTCCTCCCTGTGCCACACAACCCAAGCGTGACTAACAAGGCAGTCAGGCTGCAGCCTTCTGGAACGAATGAAAAATGTGCCGACTCAAGGAAAGAACTATTAATTAACCATAGATTAATCAATTTCCCAGCGTTATCAGCTCTTCGCTTGGCAGACACGCTATTCAAGGGGTGGGGGGAGACTTGCATAGCTCACTTTTAAAAAATACTCCCTATTTCTGTAGATGGATAGTTACCGAGATGACAGTTACTTTTCCAGGGTGCAACCACACTGATCCCTCTGGCATTGGATCAGTTTGCCCAGTGTTAATCAGGGAAAGAAAAAAATATATATTAAGCATCGGCCAATCAGATTATGGCATGGGGCTGATGGGAAATGGAGTTCAAAGATGACCATGCAATCTTGACTTCACAGCTGATAGAACTACATGCTAATGCACATGCAGGATGGAACATGCCATCTGCAGGGCGTTGACGAGCCAAGGAAGAATTTATTCAAATTTCTGCACGTCGGTGTCAGACAAGACTGTTTTCTGCGAGTTATCGCTAGGCAACCTGAAAGAAATGTGTTTACGCCCTGTTAAATGGACATGAATGCAAACTGAACGCACAGGCCTGCCTGGAAAAACAATGGCTTTTCATCTTTTCCTCCCAATTTGTTTATTTTATACACTAAGGGGAGAAATGTACCGTGAACGTAAAATGATCAGCTGTGAGGTCACAATCAAACACTGGAAATGGTGCACTGAGATAAATTATTCTGAATACTTCAGAGAAAGGCTGTTTTTTTGTTTTTCAAAAGAAAAAAAAAATACAGCCCTACAGCCCATCCAAGACTACTGAAATGAGAGAGGGATGACAGAAGAATAAACACCATGGAGATGATGATGAACTGATGTTTGCAGCGTTCTGACCGTTGTCCCTGCATACACCATCGATTGGACTCATTTGTGTTTACATTTCGGCATTCAGAAAACGCTCTTAACCACAGCGGCTTACACACCACACATTTTCACATGCAACCCATCTATACAGCTGGGTGTTCTCCTGAAGCAGCTTTCGGTGAAGAAACTTGGTCATGGGTGTAAAGGTAATACCAGACCCAGGATTTGAACCTGCAACCTCTGAGTTACAAGCCCAGCTTCCTAAGCATTATACTGCACTGCAACACCTGGTCACACTAAACCATTCTCTATATCCATTCTTCGACCAAACCCAGACCAATTGTGACCAAACTCCAACCAAATGTTGACAGCTCCCTGGACATACAGCAGAGAAAAGCAGCAAACAGAAAAAGTAGAGAAAGACAGCTTTTCCCCACTGTGGAAGGAGGCGGAGAGGCCAAGAAGCAACCTCTCAACGCACCTTTTCAGTCACAGTCTTGAATAAGCTGCTTAACTTGAACAGCAAATTCACATATAGCAGCGATTCTCAACCTTTGTCCAGCACAGGCACAAAATGAGTCAGGTCTATGTTGGTACTCAGCACTCATCTGATTGGTTAAAACTGTTGATGATGACACAGCTAAGCTCACCTCAGCTGGCTTCCTGGGTCTGAACTAACAGATGATTTGAAGGTTGGGGGGTGGGGGGTGGGGGGGGGTCCCATCCTGCTTTGCAGCTCTCTGCCCCAAGCACCACCCCCCCCCCCCCCCCCCCACTCCCAACTCCTAGCTCACGAACAGCTGAGCGCTGCATTCTTCCGGACAGAACAATCCGGCCACGTGACCCCAATGACCTCAAGTGACCACCGGGGGGACCTCATTACAAAGACAGACATTGTTGCGTACGCTGATCAGGCGTCCCTAACTCCTAACTACGGAAGCCTCACTGGTCCAACAATAGTAATGGCTGTCTTTATTACAGGCTGAGGAATGGGACCTGCATTACTCCTTAGTATTCAATCATAGACTAAAAAAAAACTAAACTAATGACCTCATGAGCTAGAACCCAATATATACTTTGGGAAAACTTGAACTAAAGACGAACAGTAGCCTCTTATAGTGATATTGTATGTGTTGGTGGAAATCTCCCCAACAATGCATCGATAAGATAAAGGAAAGAAAAGGACAAATGTAAAAGACCTGCCTTCGCTGCAACTCCATGTCAGTTTTTCTTCAGAGCAAAATTTATGGGAGTTGTAGTCACTCTAAGACAGACTACAGCTCCCATGAGCACTACAGTCTACAACTCCCATGAGCCAATTCCAAATCTAGAACCAAGTCAAAAAAAAGGGAGGCCAAGATCTGAAGAACGCTTAAGCTCAGACCCTGGATGGCCAGAGTGGAGAGGACCTAAACGAGGCTTGGCCTCACCGCCTGGTAACAGACCTTACCGCCACATGTGAGCGATGCTGAAGCACAGATGCGGCCCAGATTCTCAGTTTTGCAGTTGGTTTGCAGTTCACACCTTCCAGTTCCAATCGCTATTCTCACCTCACATCACTGACCTTCTCCGATTGGTTGGGAAATCTTGGTCGCGTGCCACAATGCAGGCGGTCTTATCGCCCCGTACTGCGGTGATGTGGCCAAGCTTATGGCTCGGTATGTGAGACTATTGGGCTGTTAAATCGAGCTCCTTCTCCCCCCATGGTGGCTACAGCCCACGGTACTGTACACAGACCCTGCAGGTGGGGGGGGGGGGGGTTGTTATCCTGGCTAAAGGCCCGATCTGGCTCTCTCTGCCCACACACCTAATAACCCTTCCCCCATACCGCCGCCTAATTAGCCAAATAAATCCTCGCCCCCCTCTCCCCTGCCGGAGCGTAGCGGGCATCCCGCCACAAAATGGCCGCCGCGCATCACTCAGTCGGGCGCGGGGATGTCAGCGCTGAAGCTAGGCCGCCATCCCCCCCCCCCCCCCCCCCCAAGCCCCCCCCCCCCACCCCCCCCCCCCCCTTCTCTGGGCGCCACTCACTGCCAAGCGCGCGTGGCTAACTGTCAACACTGTTTACTGCAGGTGATGCTACGCTAAAGCCCCTCAGAGAGGTTTTGCGGCACTGTCATTAAGCGCGGTCTGTCATTACACACTGTGTACACAGACAGAGACAAACCGGGGTGGGGGGGGTGGGCAGATAGATGGGTAGAGGCATGAAAGAAAGCAACAGGGATAAAGGTGAGCAAGAAGAGCAAGAGACAGGAAGAGAGAGAGTAGAGGAAGCGAAAAGAGAGAGGGATAAAAATGGTGTGCAAGAGAGAAGAATCAGATAAGAGAGTGATAGAAGAGACCGAGAGAGAGAGAGAGAGAGAGAAAGAAAGAGTTATGCAGGAAATTGGAGAGAAAGAGAGACATTTGAAGCTCCTTTTATCAAACTTGCCAAACAAATAGAGGGAAACACAGACACAGGAGAGAGAGAGAGGAAGAAGGAGGTAAAGAGGGGTACGCAACACACCTGGTTCTGTGAATGAGGACTGTGATGGATCCAGCGTCCTTCTCCTCCTCCTCTGAAGGACAGGCCTTCTCTCAGGCCCTACAGACCTGCAGCTACAGCCACACCTCACCCTGCACCACCTCCACTACACACACCTGGATCCTACAGCCTCCTACCTTCTACAGCACCCAGCACAGGGGGAGGGAGGGGGGAGGAGGAGAGAGGGAGAGATGGAGAGGGGTGGGGGTGAGGAAGGGACAGAGAGGAGAGAGGGAAAGATGAGAGGGAAGTAAGAGAGGGAAAAAAAACAGAGGGAGATTGTATTGCTGTGTACTTATTATTTATGAATGTATTTTCTACAGGTAAATCCTGTAGAAGGAGAGGGGGAGGGATGAGGGAGGGGGGAGAGGAAGAGAGAGAGAAAGACAGAATGTCCAATTTCCCGTGACCTTCCAGCTCCTTTCCTCTCCGGCGGTGACCTTCAAGCCCAGAGTCAGCAGACTAGATCACAACAGCCAGCAAGCCAGCAGGATCAGGGTGACCTTAGAGACCCTGAAATCCGGACTGAAATACCACCAAATCCTGACCCAAACCCCACCAAATCCTGACCTAAACCCCACCAAATGCTGCCCGAATCCTGACCAAAACCAGACCAAATCCTGACCAAAACCCCACCAAATACTGCCCGAATTCTGACCGAAACCAGACCAAATCCTGACCTAAACCTGACTGAATTCTGACCACACCAGAGCGAGGGTGAGAACGAGTGACTGAGGAGACATTACGTTTCCAAAAAGTTCTGTTAAACCCAACATCTCCCACTGGGAAAACCAGGAAGTAAGTTGGCCAGGAGCAGGACATAAAGAACTGCTGTAACCAATGACAAGCGCTGGTCTTACCCAGTCCTACTGAAGGGAACTCTGGATTGGTCCTTGTTAACAGAATCTTTGCAGGGTTTTTGGTGCACTTCAACGCTTGATGACTTACATTAGGCAGATGACGGGCTAAAGAGCCCACACACTTCATTATCAGGGCCTGGAGCGGATGCTGATTGGAGGGGAGCTGTCGAAAACCTGCAGATACCGTTCGCCCTCCGGGACTCCAGTTTGACACCCCTGCCTTGGACGTTTACGAGGGGGGGGGGGGGGGGGGGGGGGGGGGGAAGCGAAACGCTTTCAGAGGCGTTAAAAAGCTCTCCGTCTGCGTGTTACCTCATTTCCATTCCGCCGGTGAGCTGCGGGGCTACAGCGCCCTCGCAGAGAGACTTACTGCTGTCAGTCTGTCGCTGCATTAGCAGAGACAAGGTGGAATTAATTACGTTTTAAGTGACTCGTCTTTGAAGAAGCGAACTCTGCTTTTATTAGCGTGGAGCCGAACGGCGCTCAGCACATGGGCTGGGCTCGGCTGGGCTGGGGTGGGTTAAGGGCAAGGGCTTAAGTACTTGCTGTGCCTGAGCACACATGTGGCTGCATACATGCGTGTTACTGCACCCCTGTGTGCTTGCATGCAAGCGCATGTTTGTGCGTGTTACACATGTCCCTGTGTGTGAGTGTGCGTGTATGTTACATCCTGGTTTTGCCCCAGAGAGTAAGTGTGTGTGTGTGTGTGTGCATGTAAAATGTGCCCCTGTGTGTGTGCATGTTACATCATGGTTTTGTCCCAGAGAGTAAGTATATGTGTGTGTGTGTGTGTGTGTGTGTGTGTGTGCGTGCGTGTTACATCATGGTTTTGTCCCAGAGAGTAAGTATGTGTGTGTGTGTGTGTGTGTGTGTGTGTGTGCGTGCGTGTTACATCATGGTTTTGTCCCAGAGAGTAAGCATGTGTGTGTGTGTGTGTGTGCGTGCGTGTTACATCATGGTTTTGTCCCAGAGAGTAAGTACATGTGTGTGTGTGTGTGTGTGTGTGCGCGTGCGTGTTACATCATGGTTTTGTCCCAGAGAGTAAGCATGTGTGTGTGTGTGTGTGTGTGTATATTACATGTGTCTCAATGTGTGTGTGCATGTAAAAAGTGCCTCTGTGTATGTGTGTGTGGGTGCTGCCACAGTCAGAGCTGCAGTGTGGATGTGTAAGTGTGGGTGTGCATGTGAGAGTTACAGTGTGTAGATGTGTGTGTGTGTGACCGTGTCAGAGCTGCAGAGTGTAGATGTGTGTGTGAGAGTGTGTGTGTGTGACCGTGTCAGAGCTGCAGAGTGTAGCTATGTGTGTGTTTGTGTGTGTGTGTGTATGTGTGTGTAGATGTATGTGTGTGTGAGTGTGAGTAGATGTGTGATTGTGTGTGTGTAGTGTGTATGTGTGTCAGAGCTATAGAGTGTGGATGTGTGTGTGTGTGTGTGAGTGTGTGTGTGTGTCAGAGCTGCAGAGTGTGGATGTGTGTGTGTGAGTGTGTGTGTGTGTGCGTCAGAACTGCAGAGTGTAGATGTGTGTGTGTGTGTGTGTGTGTGTGTGTGAGCGTCAGAGCTGCAGAGTGTAAATGTGTGTGTGTGTAGTGTGTGTGTGTGTGTGCGCGCAGAGTGTGGACGTTTCTGCTGTTTATAAAGCTAACAGCTGGGGACGGCCCGTAATTAAACTTCACAGAGAGCTATTCATGGCGGCCGATTGTTTTCGTGTCGGCTGTAACAGGCTTCGCGCGAAGCCTTCCAGCCCCCAACGCCCCGATCAGGTGTTAACAAGGTGATCGTGCACGAAAATAAATAAATAAACCAATCACAACGCGAGTGAAATCACATTTCACTCACGTATTAAATAGATGTCTTTGCTTGATGTGCTGCTTCTGCACTGGACCCTGTTACACAGCTTAG